GCACACACCCATTTTATGGAGAGGCTCTTGTTGACATCTTTTATAAAGTAAGTCAATAGCAATGCATAGGACTGCTTAGCTTTGAATTTTAACACCAATATATTGAAGCTACTATCTCTTACTCTAGTTACAAGAAGCTAGTATTTATACTGGTCAGTTACTACAAAATGTCAAGAATGTTGCAGATTTCTGTAAACAAATGTCTCCTATTTACTATTATGACTCTGTCTCTGATACGTTTGTTAATTGTATCTTGGTAAGTCTCAGCAATTATGATAACTTTAAATTAATTTGATATTAATTTAGGGCCCCATTATTAAAGGTGTTAGGGACTCGATCTTCGAGTTTGATAAATTGATGCAAGCAAATCTTCTCAAATATGCTGCTAGTATATTGTACGATATTATCTCCATCATCATTGCTCTTTTGCTGTTTATCTGTCAATCCACTCTTGGATCTGCTACTGATATGAAGCAGTTGATGATATTTGCCACTGTTATCCACCTTATCATATGTGGAGACATTGAGAGTAATCCTGGACCGTCATTTGACACAAGAGGTAAGTAACATTTTTAATTTATTTTAGTTAATGATATTGTTTTTCTCTCTAATATAGACCTCCTGAAAAAGAAGCCAAAGGTTTCTGATCTCTATAGAATATTTACTCAATCTGACGCTGAATGTCACTGGAAAACCATCGGTATAGCATTAGAAGTGAAAGTGAAAGACCTGATTGGTGATCCAAGTTCTGCAGCAGATAAACTTTTGCTTGTTTTTGAAAGATGGAGTGATAGACATCAAGACTTCACGTGGGAAAGGATTATTGAAGCTTGTGAAGATTATGATGACTTGGGGAAAGTTCATTGCGCCATTGTTGAGTTTTTGTCATCTTGTAAAGCGCACAGGGAGTATGGAAGTAAACCTGACTTTGACTGTACTTACACTGAAAGTATGACGATACACAAAGAGAGCAAGGAGAATGAAAATGGATATTTAAACAAGACAGTTATTATATTAGTGATATTCCTCATTATATTAGTGATAATCCTCATTGTATTAGTCTCGTGCTTCATTTATCAAGTAAGGGCTAACTTAGCCTTGCAAGGCCAGTGCTGGCCTCATGAGACTACATGCAGGACTGACTGTGAATGCTGAGAACATTCCTTTGACACACTGCTGCAACTGTAATATGTACTGTATTATTATAATTATGTACTGTTTTATTATATGTATACTGTTTTATATTCTTAAAATATTTTGTTTACAATAATTTGAAGTGTTCAATGATAAGCCAATTCCAATTGTGCAGCACCACATAAAAATTGAGAGCAGGAAGAATGACGATGAATACTCAAACAAAAACTTCATCGATTACTGATAACCTTCAAAGTACTAATCATAGTCTTGTGCGGCATCATTTATCAAATTACAGACTGACTCCAAATGCTAAGAACATTTCTTTTGCAATTGTTTATTGTGCTTTTCATCACAATTTTCATAAAATCATCTATCAGGTTCAGGAGGAATTTGTCTTCATGAAAATGCAGTTAATGCACTAATCACGTGAATACATAAAGAGGTGAGGTTTTGTGGCTTGCATTATAAAAGATCTTAATGGACTAATTAATTTTAATTAATTTTTAATGGACTAGTGATAACTGTCAATTATTTTATTTATTATTTAGTTATTTATTGACAGTTATTTTTACATATATAAATATAAAATATTTTATATATATTTTATTTTATATAAATATTATATAAATATTACATATTTTACATTTTTTCATTATCATACCGCTTTGTATTATTGTAAGCTTTTGTGGCATCATTATTTATCATCAATGGACAGCTGATAACATAAACTGTTGATAACATATTCCTTAACTGCCTTACATAATGTACAGTTTTATTGTATGAAGTATATATATATATTCTGTTTATTGTGTTTAATATTTTATATTTTGTTCCTCATAAATTTTAAAGCCAATACCTTTGCATCAGAAAATTTACATTCATCGCCAACAATATTTTTTTGTCTTTAATAATGAATAAAAAAACAATATGTGACCATAATTGACAAAAGGGCCCTTATGGCGGATTTTAATATTGATCGTTTTAATGGAAAATATCAACCTGTGAGTGCTTTGTTAGACAATAATTGTTTCTAAAAGTTTCATGGTAACTTTTTGCATCCTGTGGAGTAATTTTATGATAAATGGGGCTCAGGAAGTTGGATTTTTTAGGCTAGAAAGACAAATTTCACTACCCGCCATAAGGTACCTTTTGTCAATTATGGTCACATATTATTATAAAATACACAAGATGCTAGATATTAGAAAGAGAATTGACAGCTCTTCTCGTGTGATGCATGATGTCATCAGCAAGAGTCTGAGCTGAACTATATCTAACAGTCTCCAGTGAAAACACAGCAATGAGGAGCTTCATTATCGTAGCCTATTAATGGGCGGGGTCACTAGGGGGTGTGGTTTGTGTTTATCTCACCTTAAACTGCTGACAGTGCTCGTTGAGTTGATTGTTACTGCCGAGGAAACCCCACGCAAAGACGGGGGAAATGGTCTCACTTAGACTGTAGAATAGGTACATGAACCCATTTTTACTCTGAGAGAGAGGGAGGAGGTTAAATTAAAGTGATTATGTTTGAGTTGTATGTACTTTTAATAAACTCTTCTTAGTCTTAAGAATAGACCAAACTGCTGTATTTAACATCTGTAAAAGAAGACAATATTGATCATAAAGCATTAGTTACTATTATTATTATTATTATTATTATTTATTTATTTATTTTATTTACACTTTGCTTGATCCCATCTGATATCCATCCATTCTGTATCACTGACAGCATCGCTGAAGGAGGGCTAGCCAAGTCATCAAAAGCATCCAACAACAAGAAGTCCAAAGCAATGTCATATATATTCATACATACTACCTGAGAAATGATAAGAAACATCCATTTAATGTAAATGTACATCCAGGCCCATAGCCAGGGGGGGTGATTGGGATGACATGTCACCCCCCTTTTGAGTTAGTACCTTTGTTTGTTTGCTTAAATCAAACATGTATTTGTGGTATTTCATGTGCATTCAGTCCAACTTGTCACCTCCCATTTTATGTAACTCATACTTTGTCACCCCCATTTCATGTAATTCATATTTTGTCACCCCCCTTTTTGTAACCCTGGCTACGGGCCTGGCATCAGTAACTATGTAATCTTTCTCTTTCTCTCTCCCCCCTTCTCTCTCTCTCTCTCTTACTCCTCTCTCCGACAGTTCAATGTTCGTCTTATTCAAATTCTCCGGCACTTGACAAAACTTAATGATATTATCGTAAGCTTCAAGAAATGGGCCAGCATCCTAAACAACACAAAAAACACTAAAAACCCAATCCAACAAATATCATACATGTATAAATATTAATATTTCAGTCTCCCTTACGTATGCTGATTTTATCAGTAGTGATACTACCATATCTCTCCCGGCATCAATCAGGTATTCTCTGTTCTCTGGTGACTGCAGTAGCAGGTTCATGGCCTGACGGACACAGTGTAGCTTAGCTAGGAAATCTCTTTCACTAGTGCAGCATAAAACATCAGTTCTAAGAGAAAGAAGAAAAAAAAAATACAGTGAAACCTGTCCTAAAGGTCACCTGAATAATGAGGCCACCTCTCTATTACAGCCATAAGCCAAAATCCCGTACTAAATGGCTGTATTACAGAGGCTGATCTGTAATGCAGCCACCTGCCTAATCAGGCCATTTAAAACTGGCCCAAGGTTGACCAGATTAAACAGGTTTCACTGTATTATTATTATTTTTATTTTATTTTTATTAAATCAATCATATTAATGTTTTTCAATACCTCATTGTTCTACATGGCACTGCTCCTCTTTCAACAACTTCCAGTGATGATATGTAGAACGAATGCTTAAATGACACCTAAATAACGTTCTAGTGGGCGTGGTGATGGGTGTGGCTTACCGTATCCAAGTGTTGGGTAGCAGAAACGAAGGAATCGTCCAAATCCAATAGATAATCAATAATGGGTGTGGCCATTATTAATATTATAATCAATAATCAATAGATAATCAATAAGGACTAAATCTTGTTTCAAAAGTTGAGAAAAAGCTGGACCAACACTATTGGCCTTGCAAACTGCAATCTAATTTAAAAAGAATTAATACAGCCCATATACATGTACATGTACACTTACCTCTTTAGCTAGTTTAACAGCATCTTCAGTACTAGTGAAATGAAGTGACCACGCCTGTCTAGCATCGTCATAGAAACTCGCACAATTACTAGCTTGAATCTAGAGAAATAGAGGATCATAAATAGATGTACTACATGAACAATGTACATGTACTTACAGTCATGTTGAAAGAGGTGTCAACTTTAACAGAAGTGACATGTTTATTATTAGACAAATATAATAACATCTTGTACTAGAGAGGGAGAGGGAGAGGGAGAGAGAATCCAATTCACTTAATAATTGAAGATGAAAGTACATGTACATCATAATGGGAACATCATGTGTGTATTAATGTATACATAATGGGAATTAAAACAACATTATTATTATTATTATTATTATTATTATTATTATTATTATTATTAAAATTATTGTCTTGTATTATTAACTCACGTCTCTACTTGAGTGAAAACCTATAAGTGTACATCCTAACTTGCCCTGAGGCTGATAACGACCATCAACGCTAAAAATAAATAAATAAATAAACAAATAATTTTAAATGATTACTGTTTTTGACAGTCAACTGAAATGGCTGCTAAAACTTGCTGTGACTCTTGACCACTCCCACTACCTACGTAATAAAAGTCATTATTGTTACTATTATTCCTGGCCCAGTCCCACCCTCCTCCCTTTCAGCCCCTCCCACTTTACCTTTTTGCTTCTTGGGTTGCTTCGGAGCTTTATAGGTGAGGGATTCATTGCCGTGACTACCATCCATTGCAACGCTAGCTCCAAATATAGAGGCTAGACCAGAACCACTGGAAGTGGAAAAAAGAGAAACAGTTCAATTCATTAGAAGACTGCCACGCCCCTAAAATGTGACCAATTGTGGCTTTCCTTACCCGCCAGGTCCTAGGTAATCATCTTCATCCATTCTCTCCCTCTCTTCTCTTTTTTAGGACTGGATTGTTCCAGTCCTAACTATCAGGAGATATATAATGGATGGAGGAAAATGTCCTCTAAAATGTCGCACAAGTCACGTGAATCGTGAATGCAGAAGTAGGCGAGGTTTCGTGCAAATTCTTCATATCATTCGTGGTGCGGTGACGTGTTGTTATTGTACTTGTAGTTTCATCAAGGGCGGATCTAGGACCAAAGTTTATATTACTCCAGAAAATTTTTGGGGGGGCATTGCCCCCCCTGGCCCCCCCATAGATCCGCCACTGAGTTTCATAGGTGTATAGGAAGCTATTGAAAAGTGGGGGGGGGGGACAATGATGCATGCAATTTCTCAAATTAAAATTTACTAGCTTGT